GAGAGGGAAAGGGCCGGGAGGGAGGCAGAGCCCGGCAGCAGCGGGGACGCCTCGCAGCGGAGCAAAAGCCAAGCTGGGCGCTCGCGGTGGGCGACGCCGAGCACGCGAAAGCCCACAAGGAAAAGGGGGAGAGCGAGGCCGCGCGCGGGGCTAGCGGGAGCGATCGTGCATCTGGCTCCCCGGCGTCGGGCACAGCAGGGCCAGGGAGAGAAGCTGGATGTGGGGAATCTTCTTTCCCACAGCCATAGCAGCCTCCTCTCCCCTCTGTATCCCTCCAGCTGCCCTCTGCCTGCTCCGGCCCCTTCGAAGCATTGCTGCCGGGAAGGCCCCTTGGCGCAGAGCGGGATGCATGCAGGGAAAAGGGACCTGGGGCCGCTGCAGGAGAGCTACCCGAGCTCCGAGGCTGGCGTGCGCCCACGCGTCCTCCCTGGGAGAGCGCCGACTCCGCTCGCTCCCAGCGAAAAACACAGCTGCTGCAGGGGCAACAGAGAAGGGGAAAGGGAACTCTCTTGAACCAAAATACGCGGGTGCTCTCCTGGCTTCTTCCTCCCGGTGAGCAGGGACAGCTGGAGCTCCCAGGAGGAGCAGAGACGGCCGATCCCGACAGTGAGGATGTTGTCCGAGCCCCATGTAAAGCAATCAGAACGCTGTTTATTGATTATTTAAATCCCTGCCTCACAGTAGCCCACACGGGCACAGGAGTGAGCTGATGAAACCGTATCTGAGCAACACAGACACAGGAGGAGAAAAAGTACTGTAAAAAACAACAAAACAAATGCAAATAAATTAAATTCCCAACAAGTAAACGTAACCAGGTTCTGAGGTGCCTGTCCATGGTACTTCAAAAATAAAATAAGGGGGGGGGTATACAAACAAGAGAGGCCAAAAAAGTACAAAAAATACAGAACCACAATCACAAGTGTCTGAAAAGTAACAACAGTAACAGTACAGAAAGCTCTTCGCGAACACTCAATGCACACAGGACAGACAGGACCGTTTCTCTAGGGCTAAGGACAACGCGTGGAGGCAACTTTAAATGGCACAAGATGCCTGGGCGGCCACGAGCCGTTCGCTTGGGCAGGAGCATCTGCACGACGAGCCTGGGAGAGCCCGGGCTCTCCTGTCCGGAGAGCAGAGGGAGCCGGGGCCGGGCCGGCAGCGCAGGGCACGCACGGAGCGACGGCAGCAGGAGGGCGGCACGGCCAGAGCAGTTCTGAAGGGACGGTGGCATCCAGGGGCTGGGGAGCCCATCTGAAAGGCTGGTTCCTCCAACGCCGAGTCTCTCCCGCACGGGGGAAGGCCCCAGCCCTCCACCAGCGCTGGAGGCTCGTTCTCTCAGCAGCTCAGCTGCCTTGGCTCCAGCTGCCTTTAGGTTTCCGAGAGTTGCTTTGGGGCACTACTCACAGCTCTGTTCGTGGACTTGCTCCTGGGCTGCCTCTCCCCACCCCATGCCCCCTCCCCAGCCCAGCACAAGAGGCTGGGGAGCAAATCCTGCTGTTAAGGTACTGTGTGGTCAGTCAGGCATGGAAGGAGGCAAGACTTGAAGAAAGAGCAACAGAGAAACCTTTTAAGAGTGAGGCAGGAGGAATCCAGAGAGGGAGATAAAGCCCAAGAAGGATTTAGCCACTGGACAAACAAGAGAGACACCAGTGGCCATGGGGCCGGTCCACAGCGAGATCAACTTATCCTTTCAGTTTGGGTTGCACAAAGAGCCAGGGCTTTGGTGGAGGCAGTAGCATCCAAAACGCAGGCTGGGTCTGAAGAGTCTGGCGGTATTCAGTGGAGCAGTTGTGCTTTCTCTCCCTCTCCCCCCTTGGAAAGACATTGCATGTGGAAGCTGATCTGCAAGGGGCAAACACGGATGGGCTGCACTGTGTGTTCACTGCTGGGCCAAGTGTTTTAAGTAGTATTTACCAGAGGCATTTAATCATTTCAGCTAGGAAGCAAGAGGCTCAAGGGGATAAGGCTCTAACAAAACCACACAGGCGGCTAGGGAACACCAGTGGTTTTGACCAGCTACTCCCCCAGTCCCTTCTGCCTCTTCACCTTCTCCTTCCTCTCCCCTTGTCAGCACGAAGCGTTTCTTGCTTTGAAAGTCCTTATATTTCCTCCACTCCGTGTGCAAATATCATCACCAGTCCTGGCTCTAGCACCATGTCCTCACCCATGTGCTGGTTTTCACAGGCCATCACCACCACGGCCTGCTTGCCAGGGATGCGCTTGGCCACATAGTTCTCGTAATACCGCCGGTTCATCTGGCGGGTTTCCAGCGTGGCCAGGCCCTGCGGCCAGTTCCGCTCGTGGGCGTTCTCGATCAGCTCGTTGATGATGGATGTGGCCCAGCCGCTCTCCACCAGCGAGCGCTTGATGACGGCCTGCAGCACTGCATCCGGAGTGGAGATCATTCCGCCCCACCGCGTCACCCGGGCTGGCTGGAGGGAGTTCACCCACCTGGTTGGGGAGACAGGGACAAGCGGACTGTCAGGGCCACACATTAGAGGTGGCTGTCACGGAAACTGAGGAGCTCCTCTGCCTCGGCCCAGCCGCTCTCCACCAGCGAGCGCTTGATGACGGCCTGCAGCACTGCATCCGGAGTGGAGATCATTCCGCCCCACCGCGTCACCCGGGCTGGCTGGAGGGAGTTCACCCACCTGGTTGGGGAGACAGGGACAAGCGGACTGTCAGGGCCACACATTAGAGGTGGCTGTCACGGAAACTGAGGAGCTCCTCTGCCTCTGGTCTGCTCTGTGCCTGGGAGCTGGGCTGGATGGTAAAGACCTCTTTTCCCCCCACCTACCTCTCCTCTGTCCCCACCCCCACAAGCAGTCCCTGCAGGTCCCTTTGCTGTCGCATTCAGTTTTGTTGAACAGAGCCTTTAACTCCCAAAAGGGAACAGAAGAAAGGATCAGATGAGAAGTCACTTCCTCCAGCCTTTCTCACAAGGAGGAAGGAACCTGGCAGCTTCCTGCTTGTGAACAGGATGCAGATGGAAGACTAAAAACGATCAGAACCCATTGTGCAACCAGCTCACATGCCGCTCCCTAGCGCAAACATCCCTGCAACTGCCCCCCGCCCCCTGCTTTTGTAACAAGACAACACATTTTCTTCTCAAACTGTGCCCTTCCCTGGCAAGGCACTTCCTCCTCCTCTCGTTTGTCAGTTAAGCTGGCAGAGGCTCAGCTCCACTCACTGATGCAGGGCTCCCCTCCTTCTCCTAGAGCAGCATGAGAACCAGTACTTACTCCAGGATTTCATTGTATTCAATGGTCTCTTCCAGGTTCTGCAGGTTAGGGTTGACACTGCGGATGGCTCGCATATAGGCCTTCAGCAACTGAATGTCCCGTTTCTAAAAGAGGCAGGACACAGCAGGGTTTGCAAAAGGAGTCACTGCAGCAGCTAGAAGTCACGAGAGCATACCCCAGCAGAGCAGCAGGGAGTAGCACGTCCCTGCCCATCCGCTGAGCTACTGCCCCCAGCAGAGCTCTCGGCGCTCCCCAGTTTCAGGGGAAGCTGGTGTTTGAACGGGCAGGTTTCGCTCTGCCGCTGGGTCAGAGCGAGGGCACTGCCCTACTTGGGTTGTCAGGCTCAGCCACCAGGCAGTGAAGCCACAGTAACGATCACTCATGGGGATACCCTCAAAACTCTGGGCTGCCTTGACCTGCAAAGGGCAGAGCAGGGCAGGAGAGGGAGTCCTGGGTTTCCCTCCACATGCTGAGCAAGGAAAGGACTCCAAGAACAGCAGAGCCGCAGAACGGCAGCAGGGGCCTGGCTGCTCTCAGTTGTCTGCCCTGCAGCCGCTTTCTTTGCGCACAAACCATTTTCAGCGTTTGGCATCTAAAAAGGTAGGACTGACCCTCCAAGAGGATGTTAGCGCAGAGACCCCGCTGCAAGTCAACCCCTCGCCCACATGGAGCTACCTGCTCTGCTAGCTGATGTTTGTGTTCTGCCGAAGTCTTCTCCAGCTCAGCAATTCTCGTCTGCTGCTGCTGCACCACAGATCTTAAATGCTTGATGCAGTTGTGGTTTGGCAGCTCATCTTTGGGCATTTCCAAGCTGCAGAGCATTACAAAAACAGTGGAGGCCTCGCGTTAGGAAAAGTTACACATCAGAGCACCTGGCATAGCTATGAACAACTTCCAGGAGAAAGCCAGCCTTGGAGGACTTGCAAGAAGCTCTGGAAAGCTCAGAGCTGTAACCTTGAACATGTTTTAGAAGGTCTGTTCACTATCATACCTCAGAGTTTAAACCAAATGGGCATAGGTCCCATAGGTCTCTCCCGGTAGGCAGGCGATGGGTTTATCTTCCTCTGAAAGTGATCAGGGCTCAGAATCAGTCCCACATTAGCGAGCCCATGAGCCTGATCCAGTCTCTGACTTCATCTTAGGCAGATCTGATTGTCTCCAAGCCAACCATCCAGCCTGGCTGGATGTTTGCAACTCGCAAGTGGAAAAGATATCAGCACCAAGAGCAGAGGTGCCAAGGCCAGACCAGCCACCCACTGCTTCTGGTTCTCAGAGCTGGAGCATGTAGGAGGGAGCAGAGTTCATGCTGGAACTTGTCCTGGGGTGGAATGGCTCTGGGCGGATTTACAAAAGCTCCAGTACCCCAATTCCACCAGCCAGCTGACACTTGAGCCGCCAGCAAAGAGGTAGGGGCTTTGAAACAAGTTTAGGAGCGATGTGCTTTGACTAAAAAGCTTTCCCAGCCCTTTCTGCAGCACCACAGCCTACAAGGCCCTGAGACCCCCAGAACTCCATGCCCACGGGGCAAAGGGGTGCCATGAGCAGAGCCAGGTACCATAAACCCAGTTTCCTTCCCCCACTCGGCCCTCCTCCACAGACCGTAGAGTGGGAAGAGACCACAGCACTGTGATACAGTAAGGGCTTTTGCCCTCTGGCCAGGCCAGAACCCCTCAAGGCCATCCTCACCCGCATCCCTGCTCGCAAGTCACTGGGCGCTTTGGATTGTGCTCGCAGTCATTGAGGTGAGACATCAGGTTGTCAAGTCGCACTACTGCCGTACAGCCGAAAACAGCGTTGTCGCAAGTGATCTGCAGCTTTGAGAGCATATTACGCATGATCCGCGGGACAGGGCGGAGGTGGGCAACCGTCACTACACTGCGGTCCACGGGGCACGTCTGCTGCTGGGAAAACCACTGGGTGATGCAGGCATTGCAGAAGGCGTGTTCGCAGTGAGGAGCCTGCGGAGGGGAAGAGGAGCAGAAAACGGCTACACATTACTCACAGACCCTGCTGAGACGACGTGTCTGCTAGTCCCTGGGCGGCTCATGTGCTGGCAACGACCTCGATCAGAGAAAGGCTCAGCCTCAGAGGGATGCACAACAGCTATATGCTGACTGGAAGGAGATGCACATCCACTACACAAGCAGACAGGGGAATGAGACACCAAAAAACAGGCCTGTAAAGAAAATACAAAGCCTCCGCACAGCACCTTCCCACTGCAACGTGAAAGGCACTGCTGAAGAGCCATCCTGCCTTCTTTTGGATGGCAAATGTACAGGCTCATTCATCTCTGGTTTTCATTCTTGGGCCCAACCCCACCAAGTCACTACCTCCTCACCAGGCGCTTGGCCCCTCACAAAACGATCAGCTGCCTGGGACAGGGTATGGGGCCATCAGAACAGTGCCGCTGCCCTGGTCTCTCCTAGATGAGGCTGCCTCTTTAAAGGGTTGAGGGGGCAAGACAGATCAGGATGCTAAATTTAAACATTTTTCCAGGGCAGATTAGAACATTACTTCACTGTATTTATACAGCTGGGCTCTGCTCTTAAGTTCAAGCTACAGTTGAAAGGGTATTAAGTTTGGGGAGGGGGAAAACGGGACACAGGCCAGTTCTCTAGACAACACTGATCTTTCTCTTCCAGAAAGCAGAAATCCAGAGCTACAGAAAGGTCAGATGTGTTCAGGGCTAAATCTCATTTACAAGCTGCTCCCTCAGTCCACCCTTGTACAAGCCAGCAAAGGTAGCCAGCGTATAACAAAGACTGCAGGCCATATGCTGAATTAGGATTCACCAGTTCAATTCACAGCACTGTCCTGGCAGTTTCACTCCAGACCCTACGGCAACACAGATCGAGCCAGCTTCCCTCCCCAGCGCGCACCGTCTCCGAGCCAGCGGGCAGACAACGCAGCGTGTGCAGGGCTCTGGCACAGGGAAAACCACCCCCCTGCCTTGTGCTTTGCTGAAGTCCTGCTCTCTTGGCTCTCCCACTGCCTGCCCCCGCGCCCCAGAGCGCCCTGCTGCGCTGGTCTTTCTGCTCCCTTTACAAGGTTCTATCCACCCAAGGCCGATCAACACAGCAGTATCTACCTGCACTGGGGTCTTAGTGATCTTGATACCCCAGCGACACGAAGCGCAGATGGGGACTGTGGCAGATGGCAAATCAAGCCAGTTTCACTGGCTGCTGCAGGCAGAGGGTTGCTCCGTGGCCATGGGACCACATCTGCCGCAAGCGATGTCTCATTGCCAGGGCTGTAGAGGAACCTGGGAGACCATCTGTGCGGCTGGGACAGAGCCCGGGGCCATTTCTCTGCCCCAGAGGGGACAGCTGGGCCACGTTTGAATGTGTTTCAGTGACAGTGGTCAAACACTGGGACAGGGCCCAGGGAGGCTGTGGAATCTCCATCCCTGCAGATACTCACAACTCGGCTGGACACGGCCCTGGGCCATCTGGGATAACTTTGGAGGTGACCCTGCTCTGAAAAGGCAGATGGACCAGAGTCGTCCCGAAGCCCCTTCCAGCATAGATTCTACAATCCCTCAGTCAGCAGAAATAGTCTCCAGACAGACAGCAACTTGCCTCCGCTTCCCCAGTCACCTCCACGACAAGAATCCACTCAAGACCATTCATCACTTAGCTGGTAGGCAGGAAACAACAAGAATGTCCTAAGCAATTTGATCCCTTCAAATCAAGGCTAGTCAGAGCACAAGTCTTATGCCCAGCTACAAAGGCAGTCTAATCGCAGCTCCAGTTACTGTGCTATTGGCAAGAGCAGGAGGGTTGGTATCCAACAGACAGGCTGTTAAATACTCTCAAGAAAAGCCTGGGAACAAGGGACTTCTAGATATCGTATTCTCAAAATGAGATTTAAATAAATCTACTTAAGAAACCTGCAACTTTCCCTCTATTTTATGCAACAATCCATGATCATGTTCACATGTTGACAGGCTGTTTCTTTTCCTCATCAAAGCTTGTTTTGGCCTAACAGATTAGCGTAGTTGGAGGGTGCTAACACACTATTTTAACGCCGATAGATCGTGCGGTTTTGCACACCCCCGGTCCCAGCACACACGCAACCCACTGGCACGAGGAGGATATGCTAGGCAGTCCTCTGCGTCTCTGGGACTCCAGCTTACCGGCACAGCACAAATCACAGCTTTTGTGATTCTATTCATTATTAAGCAATCAAATTACAAGCAGCATGTGTTTTCAGATTAGCTTAATCCTATCTTAATCCATTTTATTTCAAATGAGGGTTGGATTTACACAGAGGCTACAAAGCTATCTAACACAGGGCCACAGCTCTACCAGTGCAGAAATGCATCTGGTGGAATATGTTCCCAGAGAGGGAAGCACACAAACCAGGGAGAGGAAGTCCCATGTAGGACCCCAGCTTCACTCAGCCATCAAGAGTGTGCTCTACTCCTGTCAGTGCTGGTGAGGGGGCTAAAAGACCCCATCATTTCTCTCCCAATAACAGCTTAGCAGGACAAATACGACCCTTCCATTACCAGGCGGGGCAACGGGCGCACCAACACATCACAGACCAAGCAGTGCTCTGGAGGGGCTCCAGCTCTCCCTCCACAGAGCCACCCCTGCACGCTACACTGGAAGAACTTGCAATATCAAAGTTCACAGGAAAGCCCTGTTCAACAGCCCTTCCGCTTTACAAGGGCAGGAAGCGGAGGCTGGACCGGAAAAAGCAAACTCCCCATGCGTTCCCTGAGTAGCTGCACTAGCTGCAGAGTGAACTGGACCAAACACTCCCAACTGCATCAGGCCTGACAGAGCAGCATGCCAGCACCAGAGCTGTGCTCTATTTATCCTCCATCTGAGCTACATTTAGTGGCAGGAGAGGAGCAGGACTCTAGTTAGCTTATGCATCCTTGTGCATGCCATTGCTTTAATACATTAGCAAGAAAGCTTTAAGACTCCATTAAGCCCAAGTAATGCAGATGCTGCGTATGGCACCCATCGTCTGTTGAAGACCTCCAGAAGTCTGGAGCTGCAATCGGAGGCTTTTGGAAACAACAGTCAGGGCTCAGATGGAAACCTACCTGCACTGGCTCCTCCAGGACCCCGCTGCAGATGGGGCATATAAGGTCTTCATCAACATCCCCCTGAAAGCGTGCTACATCATACCCCATTGCTCATCACCAACGCCAGAACCCTGCGGAGATAAAAAGAACAGAGGTTAGGAGCAGTCGGGCATCCACTGAGTCCGGACAGAGCCAGTCTCGGCCCTCACAGCGGTCACGGTCAACTCCTGCTGCCTCTGCCCTACGCAGCTGGTTACAGCAGACCCGAGCATGGCAAGACCAGCCAGGAGCTCACAGCCGAGCGCTGTACAAAGGAGGGTGCAGCACAAGCGAGGGGAAAGTGGTCTTTTCAACCCTGTTTGTGCGCTGAACTGCTCCTTCGCGACGCACTGCTGGCATCACTGCTCTCCCACACACGTTATTACTAATCCTGCTGCAATTTTCCTACTTGCTTTTTTTTTTGGCACAGTTGGATTCGGTTTGTACAGGAGAAGACAGCATAGAGAGACTCTGCTAACAGCGAGTGAGCCCAGCCTTGTAGGCTGGGCACTGGCATGGGTTTTTCGTGCTCGTAGGCATGGCACGCAACAGCGACGTATGCTGATGCGTGCCACAGACTGCTCCGAGGGGCAGCCAGACACCAGCAAGCCCTGCTACACCGAGTGCAGGGAACCAGCTCCTTTCCTGGGGACAATGCTCCCCCTGGCTTCTGGGACCCCAGCTACCTGGGTGCAGGTATTTGCAACAAAGCCCAGCTGCCTCCGGTTTTACCACTCCACTGAGCAGACGCGGAGCAAAGAGGCAACACCGCCTGCCGCAGAGCGTGATCGTAGCTGGGTGCTTCAGCGCCTGGACGAGGAGCCTCCCGCAGCTTGAGCGAGCGGCCAGGGCTCTGCCTGCTCACAGCACGGAGGGCGTGCAGTAACGAGACCAACTGCGAATCCAGTCTGTCGGGTACCAAGTCCCCGTCCCTCTCCTCCGAGGGCATGGCTCCCAGGCGATATCATTCACTAGCTTCTCACGGTACCTGCCAGAGACTGACCTTGAGCTCTGCCCCAGCGTGCCGGCAGCTATCAGTCCCTTTGCGGCCTGTCCCTGAAGAGCCAACCCCTCCCCTCTCAT